GCTTCATGCTACAGAAACCGGGATAAGCTCCGGCCTGATGGGCCACTTGGCTCGCATGCAGACTTAACCTTTACCTTTACCATGCACCAGGTACATGATTGTCGCTGCCATATTGGCTTGCTACAATGTATTTCTCATGCTTGGCAGCTAAGTTCTCAGCCATGAACAAATGATTGACTGTTCTTGGACTAGTTAACAACCATTTCTTGCAGCTTGAGAATGATCCTTTGATTGCTTTTATGATACTTTGGCTTACTATTTCTCATGCTTGGGTTCCTGTTATTGAATTTAAATATTACGTACATCAAGGAACAACAAGCCCAGCATGTGGTAAATACCAGAAAGCAAATGCTAACAAAGCGCTGCAACTAGATTTGTCTTACGATTTCATCTTCTTCTGTAGTTGTTTGGTCTGTTCCAATCCTGGTCCAGAATCACTGCAATATACACTCAAACCCACAACAAGACTACGCAGACCTACAAAAAACAAACAAACAAGCATAAAGAAACTGCATGTACATGCACCAACTTACAGAAGGAAGAGATACTAAGTACAGTACTCTATTGCATCAACCAAGGGTTTCAAATTACATTTCCTGATGATTGAACCTGAATACCCTTTATTCTGGTTTTGCAAAACACATTTGAATTTTGACGTACAGTTTGATCCCAGTTAGGTGTTGTGGATGTCTGCATATTTACTTGCTTTGCAAGTTTTTAAATTACACTTAAAGGACACAACTTGCTTAAATTTACATGAGTAACGGCTGCCAATCAATATTAGAATACACTCAGTCTGCAACTTGTCAAATTGCACAGGAAAAAAATGAAAATCTGGTTAATGGAGTGCAAAACAATTCATATCTCCTCTTGTTTTGTTAAATGTGTGATTACATGTACTGACTAAAAAATTTATCGTTAAAATTGATTCATTTGTTATAAGTTCATATGAACACACACAAGAGATCTTTGCGATGGTTTTGCATACATGTACCTTTATGATAAAACTGAAGAGCCTTCTGTTTGTTTCCTTGTTCGTCAAATTTTAGTCCCTCGTTGATATAACTAATAATTAATGTTAAATATAACACAGAATAAATACAAATACATGTATGTCATCAGTCTTTGACATGCTAGGAATAAACATTAAGGAAAAAAGTTTCTATGATATTTCAATGTCAATTAGTAAGACCGCGACACTGACACTGTTAACATAATTCTTATTAGAAATATTTCGCATATTAATTTTTATAATTATTTTTCCCACAGATGTACAGCTTTTTATATGTTTAATTTATCAGCATTTTGGCACAGCTGTTCAATTTCACACAAATTAAATTCTTGTTTGGATAACCTTTTAATTGAACAGTAATGTCACAAAAGCATTGAGATAGTGGCCAATTTTTTTTGCTCATGTCTATGATATATGATATCTACTCTCAAAAACATGATAATAATTTTTTTTTTTTTTTATAATTTACATGTAAAATACAGAAAAATAAAGATTAGTTGTAGAGATAGTATAAGCGTAACATAATCATCCTAACAGTCATTATAAGCAGGTGATCATGACAGTAGATTCTGAATGACACAGTTTGACAAAATTGTGGTTAAAAAAAAAACATATCACCTTAAGTTTACTGCTATAGTCATCTTCATCAAAATACATTGACAACAAACTTGCGAAAAATCAACTTAATGTGACTTTCCAAGCTCAATTAAATGTCACCATAAATTATTTGTTCCCCAGGCTACCTTTGTTGCAATTCAAAGATGACTTCAAACTGTACAGCGACAGTAAACCGTCGATTTTGATACGTAAGCTTCCAGAAGCTTCACAGCTAACCAGTAAGTTTAATTTTTAGAATTTTTTCACTTTAGTACCCACCGGAAAGCATCGTCGTGGTGTGCCTTTACTTTAGCAGGGCCTTCTCTCTCCATGTTGCTTGAGTTTTTTTCGCTGATCTCCGTTGAAGAAGTTAGCTTGCTAGCACACAAGATTACTCAAACTGCTAAAATTAGAATTCACCTAATCCGCCATAGTGACCGATACTTAAATCGGAAATTACATGACGTATCTTCACCATGAGGGAGAAGCCGCTGAGTCATCCGCTT